CAATGTGGGATACTTAAGGCCAACAGCATTAAAAATATTAACATTAGTGGTAGAGAGGTGAATGAAGTCGGCTAGGCTACACACCGGGATTTATCGGATGGGAAATGTTTAAATTTAAAGTTAGGCATCCTGAATCTTCTGCCTTTCTTGATGTAACTGCTTTTGTTGTATTTTGATCCTTCACTTCTCTCTAGATATGCCCGAGGTGGTATAAAAAAATTACTAGTTATGTACAAAAACACTAATATATTTACCTAAGTTTTAATATCATCTCCTTCGAAATAGTCACCTTGCGCGGGAATACACATATCTCACCGTTCCTGCCACTTTGGGAAGTCGTTTTACGTAAACGAGTCGATGTCCTTATGCGATTCGCTCTGGATTTTGGGAACGGTGTTAAAACGGCGACCTTCGAGCTGCATTTTCAGCTTGAATAGGGGATGGAAGTTCAGAGGTGAAAATCTGACGAATAAGGCGGCGTGGAAGCGGCGCAATGTTGTTTTTGACTAGAAACTCGTGAGGAGAGGGTCGGTGACAGGAGGCATTGTCGTCGTGAGGAATCCAATTTTTCGCGCTCCACATATCTGATCGCTTTCGCCAAACGTCCTCCCTCAAAGGTCTCAGAACATTGCATATGAGCTCTCGATTGATGGTTTTTGGCGGGTTTCTCGATACACAATACCGCGGATGTCGAAAAACAAAAAAACAAAAAAACAAAAAAACAAAGAAAAACGGTGAGCATGCCCTTGCAGGACAAAATCGCAGTCTACGGCATCACAAAAATACACATTTCACAACTTGCGAAGTGAACACATCGATGTCATTTGACACATTGGCCCATGAAGGTCACCCCTAGCTTTTACTGTGCGTGCAACCAAGTGTTGCCATTTGTTGGTACGAACAAGTCCGGAAACTTTTGATACCACCTTGTACACACACACACACACACACACACACACACACACACACACACACACATATATATATATATATATATATATATATATATATATATATATATATATATATATATCAAGTATCTGGTGCGGTACAATTGACATTACGTGAATCATTCATACAAAAAAAAAAACAGATATAGAAGTTAATGATATAAATGGCGAGAATACATCTTCGCAAACAAATTTAATAAAGTACATTAACCCCGAACCTGTAAATGAATGTTATGATCCCTGTTTATAAATTCCAGTTGCATAAGGTCTTTTTTTAGTTTTTTACAAGCTTTCATCTGTTCATACAGACATCATCAGGTATGGAAATAGATTTGCTTTTGTTTTTTACTTCTCGGTAATAAGAGGACAACGAAAAAATACATGTAATCCGAAATATGTTTTTAGAAATGTGTTATTGTTAATTGTAAGAAATTTTTTTGGAGCGTGCGGTCGCAACGCTGAGGTTGGATTTTTAAATTTTAAGGTTGTGCGTTTTTGTACTAATATGGTAATAGGAGAATTCTTTTGTACTAGTAGATTTTTCAGTCATTGTGGCTGGGATCATAACATTCATCTACAGGTTCGTGGTTAATGTACTTTATTAAATTTGTTTGCGAAGATGTATTCTCGCCATTTATATCATTAACTTATATATCTGTTTTTGTATGAATGATTCATGTAATATATATATATATATATATATATATATATATATATTGTGTGTGTGTGTGTGTGTGTGTGTATTTAGGCAGCATTTTTTCATTGATGCATGTTTCATTAAATAATATAGACAAGTTTTGTCTATTTTATGTAAATTCCTTTCATATCGTCTGATAAGCTTAATAACATTATCATTGAAAGACGAAAGAAAATCACCATAGTGATAGATATATATTTTTTAATCCTATCTAATATTACATGAGCCATCATCAAAGATGACAATTACATTACAATATATTAAACAATACACAGACATAACAATAACGTGATCATGTGTGATGTCATGAGTTGCGGTGCGATTTTCGCTTCCAGCGTCTCGTATGCACGATTTTGTCGTTGCTTGGACATCTTCCATGCAAAGAAAAACAGACTATCATTATTGTTATGTCCGGGTATTGTTTAATATATTGTAATGTAATTGTCATCTTTGATGATGGTTTATGTAAGCCGAAAGCTTAGATAGGATTAAAGAAAATTATATAACAATATGGTGATTTTCTTTATTACATAAAATAAATAGACAAAATTTGTCTATATTATTTAATGAAACATGCATCAATATATATATATATATATATATATATATATGAAGAAAAATATACTGAAAAAACAAACAAAAATCTTAATATGCGATTATGCTGTTTTAATGTTTAATGTCAACGTCGGACGTTTCGGTCTAATAGACCATCTTCAGGACATATTCATAAAACATAATTAACATAGACCATATACAATTCAACATGAAAAAGACGATGGACATAAAAGCAATACCAATCCAAACAGATAACTAGTAATGCTTTTATGTCCATCGTTGAATTGTATATGGTCTATGTTAATTATGTTTTATGACTATGTCCTGAAGATTTGACCGAAACGTCCGACGTTGACATTAAACATTCAAACAGCATAATCGCATATTAGATTTTTTGTTTGTTTTTTCCGTATATTTTTCTTCATACTGTCGGATCTATATCCATATATTTTTATATATATATATATATATATATATATATATATATATATATATATATATATATATATATATACATAACGCAGTTGTTGCCATTCAATTATCCACTCTTAGGCTGACATATAGGCTTACTGCCATATAAGGTTGAAACACCATGTCCCGCAAGATCAATGAATTTTAGCCAACTCGAGCTTGGTCAGTTAGTACCTAGATGGCTCACTGTTTGTGAATATCAAATGCTGTAAGCTTGGAGATGCGATTAGTGTGATGGATAAAGGCTCGGAATTGTTAATCGGATAGCCGAGTTCGAAATCCCGATGGATTTGTTGCATTCGCTTACGTGCAAATACCCTTTGAAAGGTATGAATCTAACACGTCTACGTCCCCCAGCTATGGGTTAATTAGTAATAGTTGTATCACTTATCTATTCTTATATTATTCCAAAATAAATAAAAAATCTTACATTCTGAAAATATTCCTGGCTATAAATAGCCTGCGAAAGGGTGATAAACCGTAAAAAAACGAATCAATCAATCAAAATAGTCTGATATATAGAGTTGTATATCATATCTCCCATTTTCTTTTTTTGGATAAAAGCGTTGGGTACTTTGGTACGGACAAAATAAATACTAAATGTTTGATTGTTATTAATGAAAGTGTTGCAAATATTCAAGTTGTTAAACACATGAGAACGTTATCTTTTCTTCTTCATTTCTTATTATTTATGCTTTTTTTTTATTTCTCATTACCTTTCTTTTTTCCGTTCTTTCTCATTACCTTTCTTTTTTCCTTTCTTTCTCATTACCTTTCTTTCTTTTTTATTTGTTTATTTATTTATTTCTCGTTACCATTCTTTCTGATTTTTCTTCCTTATTTATTTCTCATTTTCTTCTTTCTGTATTTTTTAATTACCTTTCATAATGTGTTTTTATTACCTTTCTTTATTTCCTTTCTTTATTTCCTTTCTTTATTTTTTTCTCACTGCTATTCTCTGACTTTCTTTCTTTTCCCTTCTGTTCTGTTATTTCTTTCTTTCTCATTACCTTCTTTGTTTGTTTGTTTCTTATTTATTTTTTATCATTGCCCTCCTTTCTTTCTTTCTTATTTATTTATCTATATTTTCCTTTCTTCCTTTCATTCATTCATTCTTTCTTTCTTATCTATTTATTATTACCTTTCTTTCTTTTTTATTTATTCATCATTACTTTTCTTTCTTTCTCATTTATTTATTTTTAATTACCTTTCTTTCTTTCTTTCTTTCTTTCTGCCTTTCTTTCTTTTTCCTTACCTTTTTTACTTTCTTTCTTAATAGCTTTCGTTTTTCTTTTTTTTCTTTCTTTCTTTTCTTTATTTATTCATTTATTTATTTCTCATTACATTTCTTTCTTTCTTTTTTGCATTTCCTTTTTTTCCCATTGTTTTTCATTCATTCTTTCTTTCTTTTCTATCAACGAAATCTCTTATCTTTTTTTTCTAGATGGACTGAGATTGCTTTTCTCATTGTTTTTAGTGCCTCATAGAATTTATTAGAAATTAGTTGTCCTATCTTTTGTCCTTCTTTTTTTATTACTTTTCTTTTTCTTTTCCCTTAGTTAAATTTATTTTTCCTACAAGTACAACTCGTGAAATGTTCACGCTTTTCCTATTTGAATTTTCTGGTGTACCATAATTCTTAAATTAACGATTGAAAAAACTCCATGACTGTAAAATACCCGTTGAAATTCACCTATTACATTGTTAAATATTTAATCAAGTAAAAGTATACAAATGAACATAATTCAAGATTAACATAGTTTTTCATTTCACTGAAAGAGACGTTAAACTCATCAGGGCGTTTTCACCTTCTATATCTCCACTATCTATCTACCTTTCTTTCTTTCTTTCTTTCTTTCTTTCTTTCTTTCTTTCTTTCTTTTTCAATATGTATGCTTTCTTTTCTTTCCAAAAAGTGTCTCCCATATATCTTATTATTTCGTCTTCCCTTGCAATCAAAACGGAATGGTTCATTATTTATCTGAGGTAATCCCAGGGTATAGCGCAATTGCTAACTTAGAGGGACAAATAGAATTATAAAAGGACTTCTGATTAAATTTTTCTTTATCAATAATAATGTAAATATAATTCTCAGGGTAAAATTATACCCCCCGATGCTTTATTCGTGTTTAGCGGCAGTCGTAGTTGCATAATACTAACCATATATATAAGTCAGTAAACCAGACAGAACTGACACAACTACCATGAAAAAATGTAAAAGAAAAATATAAAGACGACATGAGAAAAAATGGAAGAGGAGGAGGAAAAAAGAAAAGAAAGATTAAGGAGAACAAAGGAGGAAAAAAGAAAAGGTAGACGAAAAGGAATTATAGATAAATAAAGAAAAAGTTGAAGAATTTATAGACATGTAAACATAAAGTAAGAGAAGAAATAGAAGGGTCAAACTGCGAAATAAAAAGAAAGAAAGAAAAATGGAAATATTTTAAAACAAAGGAAGAAAAGAAGAAAGAAAAGGCAAGAAGAGGAGAATGACTCGAAAAATAAAAGAAAAATAAAGGAAAGAGATTTAAAAAGGAAAGAGAAGGAAAAAACGACGACTTCATAGGCCTATAAACAGTGAAAGAAGAAGAAGAAGAAGAAGAAGAAGAAGAAGAAGACTGAGATTAGGAATAAAAATATAATATTATTATGTAGAAATTCTTCAAAAAATATCTTGGAGGAAAGGAGAGAATGAAGAAGCCATTGTAAGAAAAGTAATGGCATAGTAAACAGAAAATGCACCGAAATAAAGACAAGATTGATTGATTAGTTTTCTACAGCTTATCAACCCTTTCCAGCATATTTTTATATTGTAAAAAAAGATAATGATTTAATAAAAGCTGGCGGGGAAGAGGTGGATTCATGCCTTTCCCAAGGTTATTTGCTCATAAATGAATATAATAAACTCGACTGTAATTAAAACTCGGCTCTCCGATTAACAATTCCTAGCATTTAACCATTGCACTACACGCACATCCAAGCTTACAGAACTTGGTATTTTCTAGCGGTCACCCATCTTAGCTACTGACCAGGTTCGACGTTGCGTGTCTTCGGCGATCGTACGGGAAACGGTGTTTGAACGTGATTTGGCCGTAAACCGCGACAAGAGAGATGATGATGATGATGATGATGATGATGATGATGATGATGATGATGATGGTGATGATGGTGATGATGATGATCTTCGCGAAGGACAAGGAGTAAGAGGAGTAAGAGGAGGAAGCTTCCAATGTGAGAGTAAACTCGATCTTCCCATGCAGCAACAAACAAATTATAGGCGTGACCAGAGCTATGTGCATGCTTCTGGATATTGCGTTCAAAAATGCTTCAACAGGAAAAAAAAAAAAAAAAAAAAAAAACGACACCAAAACAATAAGATAAATAATAAATCTAATAGAATAAAAATCAGGCTTTTGGGGTGTGGGAAAATCATTTGATTTCGAAAAGATCAGAGACTAATTCCCATGAGGCTACTACGGCTCTTATGCGAGGAAGGTCGCCTAATAAACTCGGCCATACGCTTTAAATCGATAAGATGTTAGAAAAAGGACACTCCTCGCGCACACACACACACATACACACACATATATATATACCTGCATATATATATACACACATACACCCCCCTATATATATATATATATATATATATATATATATATATATATATATATATATATATATATATATATATAAAAAACTGCAAGCAATTACTTTTGGTTTACTTGAATTCGGTAAGGCTTGTATTATAATGCGTACGTTTTTAATATTGGTAATTTATGAAGTAATTCGGCAGAGGCAGAAAAACAGGTGGAAAAAGGATAGATGTTGGGGGAAAAGAAAGAAAGAAGGAAAAGAAAAAGGAAAAAGGAAAAAGGATGTAATAACTGAGAATAATAATAATAATGATAATGATAATAATATATAATATGTGTGTGATCTGTGTTTTTTTACAAAAATGATCAATGGGAAATGTCATGAAACCATTTCTAACCTTAGGTCTCTGGTTGGTACCATGGAGGAAATGCATATACAACAATGAAATAATAATAATAATAATAATAATAATAATAAAACCACATCATTCATTGTACTCAGCAGAGTAACTCGCACACAAATCTCAGACAGAGACCAGCTCCCCAAAATTCATATGACAATGTCCAATAAAAACATTGAGCATATATACAACGCTGCACTGCATATACTGTTAACGGACACACCACTGGGAAACAAGTGAATAAAGTTATACAGGCTACTGGGAAGCTTGGGTACAAGAAAATGAAAAGATCAAACAACAGACAAAAAGAGCTTGATCTTGGAAGGCAAAAATGAAGCGAAAAATAAATGAAATCAGATGTGAGTGATCGGTTATGATGAGATCTCAAGAAACCCAAATATCTCAACACAAATGCAGCAAGATCAAGCGGAGATATAAAATTAAATTCGTAAATGACATTCCACCAATCAAGGAAATACTAAAATAGAAACAGTAGTTAAAGGCATAGAGAACAAGACGATACGAAAAGCGTTATATGTTCTATCGCCAAAATAAGATATTCCAAACGGATCTAAAGAAATTTTATAGGCAAATTGGAACAACAGTTATAGATGTCCAAAAGCCACCATCTATTGACAAAAATGCAGGAATCTGAGAGATTATTTGGAGTTTCTCAAAGGAATATAACCTCAATGCAGAGTGAATCCATCGAGAAGAACGAATGCTGGATAAACCTCTACAAGAATGGGAAAATATAACTATGACTAATGTTAGGCAAGCTCTAACGAAATCTAAAAAAATAGAATCCCCAGAAAATGACAATGTATCCAATTTTTGCTTCTATCATCTGTCACCAATCCATAAAACCCTTGCACAGACTTTATCAATATTTATTAGTAATCCTAATGAAGTCCAAGGATGCATTAGGTATTACATATATTTTACTAAAAACGGGTGAAACAGATAATCCAAAAAATAACATATCTCTTCACGACGTATAAACTGTTCACGACGTATAAACTGTTCACGTCTGTCCTGATGAACTGCACTTATTCTTTTCTCGAAAAAAAAAATTCTTCCCCAAGAACAGATGGGGTGTAGGAGGAGTTCATATGGTTGCAAAGATCAACTACTGATAAACAAAATGATCCTCAAAACTGGCGGAAAATAGAAAAATCTCAAAACAGCATGGATAGATTACACTAAAGTCTTTGACAGTGGGTCACACTTTTGTATCCTTAAGGCTTTGCAAGCGAACGCTGATAGTAAATTTCCTTAAATATTGAATAGAACTGTGGAAAACTACATTATATCAAAATCACACCAAAGGCAATGCCACTTCCATTTCTTTGAATAAACAAATATGAATCTTTCAAGGAGACTCCCCTCTATTCTTGATTTCCTTAATTCCCTTTTCGCATGAACTAAACAGCAATAACTATGGATGCAAAGTAAAAACGAGTGTTTAATCACCTATTCTACTTGGATGATATCAAATTCTTTGCCAAAGACAAAAAAGAGTTGAAGGGTATCCTCAATATTTGTAAAATGTTTTTAGTGATGAAATCGGTATGGATTTCGGATTATATAATTTTGCAAAAGTAACATTCAAGACTTACAGAAGCACACTCAGTAGATCTAGCTTTTTGGTCACAAAGATTAGGGAAGTGGAACAAAAAGAAGCATATAAAGACCTAGGAGTCAGCGAAGGAGATGGAATACAGCCTACCAAAATGAAGGACAAATTAAGAAAAGAATACTATAGGCGTGGGCGGGTGGTGTTAAATATTGAGCTGAATTCATAAAACAGAATATCAGCCATAAACAATTTGGCTGTCCCTGTGGAGCCATACAATTTGAACATCGTTAATTAGACCACAGCTGACATTAAACGAATAGACGTCAAAACGAGAAAGCTTCTCACTTGCCACTGCATGCATCACCTTAATACTGATGTTGATCGCCTGTATGTGACCAGATACGAAGGAGAAAGAGTATTAGTTCAACTAGAACTCTCTTACAAAACTACAACAATCGGTCTACAAAAATACAGAAGATGATATATATATATATATATATATATATATATATATATATATAGTCTATGTTTATCGCCTATAAGTATACTGTGTTCTCTTTAGCCAGCTTTCCCTGACGATCCGCTTAGGTGAAACCTTGGTAGGTTTATCTGGCTCTCTAGGTTTGACAAGGTCTGTTTTACTTTTGTATTGAGCTCTTTTTTAGTTAGTTGATTACTCGTATCGGGTTTTTTTTTCTTTGGGCTTTGGACCTGTATGCTGTACGATTATTTTCGACAGACGTTCATTTTCCCAGCTCTTTCTTTTTTTTAAACCATTTTTTCCTTCGAAATTGATTTGATCATCAGCAAATCAAGAAATTGAAGGTTTTCTGAGACGATTGTAGTTACCTATATATATATATATATATATATATATATATATATATATATATATATATAGAGAGAGAGAGAGAGAGAGAGAGAATGATGAATAATGAACGGAAACAAAGCAAGAGTAACCAGGAGGACAGTAGAAAGTGGTTGACAATGCGTTTAAATTTTTGAAGTTGGCTGCAAAGCGTGGAGCCGGAAGAGTGTTTCACAAGCGAGAAGTGCGAGAAAAGAAGCTCTCAGCATAGAACATACAGTTACATCTAGCCAACTCAACTGTATATTGATGAGATGTTTTAATTAAAGAGTACCATGGCGAAGAACTCATTCGAACAGTTGCCATAAAATTATTTATACAAAATGTAAAGTATCCGTATCCTACACGGAACCGTCATATAGCCTGTCGTGCTATACCATTTAGCTATAGAGGAAGCGTCTGGTTGGCATGGTTGAATTACTGGTTTTAAACAAGAAATTTCCCATGATTTCTCTCGAACGCTCATATCTGCTCCGAGCGTATCTTAACGTAAACAAATGATGTCATATATTATGAAATGGACTAATTCCGACAATTATTTTATATTTATTGTTTATACATTATTTTTATAGATAGATACAAATATTTAAGTAAGGATACAGGTTCGATTCCTGTTGGAGGACACATATTTCTATGAAATTTCTCGGAGGCCAGTAAATGTTGTTAATACTGTTTATTATAAACAGAACATTTACTTAAATCTATAAAAATAACGTCTAAACAATAAATATATTAAATTAATTTTCGGACTTAGTCCATTTCAATATATATATATATATATATATATATATATATATATATATATATATATATAGACACACACACATATATATATATATATATATATATATATATATATATAGACACATAGACAAAGCTGCTTTTCCCCAAAACTCATATAGGAATTATATCTTGTGATAAACAGAATTTTGTTATCGTCAGCGGTTTTCCTTTTTGTGTTCATTGAAAAATCTCAAAGACTTTTCTTCAGAATAAATAAGGCAAGGTAAAAAAAGGACTAAACAAAGAAACTACAAATTTGTAATCAAATTATACAGACTTTACTCTTAGATATTGATTTCCGACCACTTGAACACAACTTGAATGTTATTTCATTTACCTTTTTTTTCTATTTTGAAACCAAAAGGTTTCTAATAATAAATTTCTAATATTTTTTGTTCCTGCACAAGATATTTGTTTACTATATACTGGAGCTCGTTTACCTAACGTTTTGATTATCATTATTATTATCATTATTTTATTTCCTTTGATTTCTGGTGTGTGGACCTAAGGTCAGAAATGGCATCATGATATTTTCCACTTAGCAATTCTGAACCGTCCTGGGGAAGACGATAAACTACATCTAACAGCAAGGCTTCTGAGTAGGAAGCAATTTAGTTCCCAGGTTTACCCTGACCCGGGGTGGTAGCATCTTTTAGGGCTCCAGCTATGGGCAAATAGTTAACCCCCAAATTGCGGTCAAAACACTATGAAATTTCCAAAATAGGTTTTAATACCAGCAATACGTTTTTGTAAAAAATTATTGCCAGCAATACATTTTTAAAAAAATATTACCAGCAATACAATTTAAAAAAAAAAATAATACCAGCAATAGATTTTTGAAAAAAAATATGACCAACAATAAATGTTTGAAAAAAATATTACCAGCAATATATTTTTGGAAAAAAATATTACCAGCAATACATTTTTGGAAAAAAATATTACCAGCAATACATTTTTGGAAAAAAATATTACCAGCAATAAATGTTTGAAAAAAATATTACCAGCACATTTCTTTTAAAATATTACTAGCAATTTTGATAGTTTTGAAGATCTTCAAGTTTTGAAGTCTGAA